TGTAAGGCAGCCAGGCAGCACTTGGCCCCATCTCCACTGTGTCCTAGTGGATATGGGTGCTCAGTGCACCTTATTGCCCTTGTGTAGCAGTGATAAATGCAGACGAACACAGAGGAAGTGGGGAAGACAGATGGAAGCAGCCTCAGTTTGAATAGACAAGATTGGTAGCCCCTACCTGTTGCCACTGCCCCTACTGCCCTGCCCTTCTTGACCACTGCAGATGGACAGATGAGGCAGGAAGGCATTAGGCTTTTGGTACAGGCAGTGTGCTTTGTACTGGAAGGAACCAGCTACAGGACTCTTACTGACCCCAGCAATGCTGCAGGCACTCAGACCCACATGCTCTTCCCCTAGCAATGTGAATAATCTGCTGAAAGAGGTACCTAACTGATTAAGGGGACGCTGGTGAGATTTAAAAAGTAATTACCAACTGATTCCCCAGAAAAATAAGAGGAGAGAGATTCAAAACACATTTACCTTACAACAGCCTTGTTCAGCCTATCCAGAAGCGTACCTGCAGTTAACAGCAGATGTCAGAGCTTTGAATGATGCAGCTGTTGCATTAACAGCTGGAATTCCAGGTGTGCTACAGCTCTTGAATGAGCCAGAAGTCAAAAAATATAGCTGGTATGTTACAACTGGTGTTGTAAATACATTCTTTTTAACCCTTCTCGCTGAAGAAGCAAGACCCCAATTGCTTCCACCTGGAATGGTGTACAGTATGTCTGGAACTGGTTGTTGCAAAGGGTGGAAACATAGCCCTACCATCTGCCATGGTGTCACCCACAAAATTTTAAGGCAATGTCTCTAGGGAATTTTTCCATTGTACTGATGACATTGATTAAAGGAAAAGCTCTCAAAAACAGTACTAAGTAACGGGCACCATATTTTCCCAACTTGAACTGATTAGTCTGAAGCCAGCAAATCAACAACATGAAGAAGGCTGAACTTCTCTGGCTATAAAATGCCCCAGCACATGACAAGTTACATGCTGAAGAGGCTGCCATGAGTTTGCAGAAGTAATGGCCTTTGGAGTCCCCCTAGAACATGCTCAGGAACACCACTGGCTCTGAGAATACATATGCACAGACCCCTAAGTGATCACTAATGCAGTGAAGAAATTACTCAGATTGGAATCATGATCATCATCATCAGCGAGGAAAACTACTGTCTGTGTCAGAAGAATGGAAAAGTTCTACAACCTGAGACTGTTTTGCTCATAACATTCTCTCAAAACACTTTTACTAGATTCCAAAGAGTCAGTTCCTGTGCTGGAACATGAAAAAGTAGTTTAGCTAGAAGAAAGAGGAATGCCCCCGGCAAGATGATCTTAACCAATGACTCCTATTATTATTGCATTTTACCAACACAGCTGTCACCTGATGAAAGGTGATACCAATGAGACGTTCAAGACAGCAAAAGTTAAAGCAGAGTCCTTTCTCAAGCGCAGGCAAACCCATCACATGCACCAGAGTAACATCAGGAAAATACTGAAATTGGTCTTGGCTGCATTGCAGTAGGTTGAGTCACACTTAACTCTTGCCAAGTTAAATCACTTTAACTATGGAGAGCTTAAGGATTGTTGCAGTGACATCATTTTGATGTAGCAGTGCAGTGGCCATTTTATGTAAATAACACCACATTAAAAAAAAAACAAGGCCTCAAGCTTTTCAAATTAGAGAAAATAGAAACATGTGCTGCACTTTTAATATTCATACTGCCATGTATCCAGTCTAGCACTCCTACTGAAATTGTTCAACTGAAAGTTTTGTGGCAGCTTGTTAGTTTGTTTTTGGTTTTTTTGAATCAGATTTAAAAGGCAAAAAACTCCAGAGCCCAAAAAGCAGAGCGCACTCTCCAGGAGTCCCTGCAGCACCTCCCTGCCCTAGCTGAAAGCTCCATCTAGATTACAGACAGGATCATGTCACCATCTTTCATCCAACTGGTCATTTCTCTCAACACTGACTTGCCTCAACAAGAAGGCAGGAGCACAAGTGTTTCTTTTCCTTTCCTTTTCCTTTCCCCATTCCCTTTTCCCTTCCCTTTCCTCAGAGCCTTCTAATTACAGTCACCTTACAAAGAAGGGATCTCCACCTGCAATTCACCCTAGGCTACTGATCTTACAACATAGATACCTCAGCTTCCAGCATGTATTTTGCTCACATATGGGGTGCTCACTACCATAACTGTTCCTCTGACAATTGCATTTCTAATCAACAAGGTCTACTCAATTCTTGCAACAGATACTTAAACCATATATCCCCCTGTCCAAACTCTATATCCTCAGTAAAATAGCTTTTCATGCCTTGATTTTTCTGCAGCAGATAAGAGAGACTTTTCAGCCTTGTGTTTGCATGCAGCAGTTTTTTGCTGGCCATCATATGCAGAATTACACAGAATCATTTAGGTTGGTTTAGACCTCTGAGAGCATTGAGTCCATGTATGGAGTATCATGTATGGATTTTTTTGTTTAATTCTTCTTTTGCTGTAGTCCTCATATACATTGTACAGAAGTCATGCTGTCTTATACTTTTCTTTTGTTGTATTTTGAAAACCAGGATTACTGGTCAAATTAGATGCTGGGCTAAGCTGGTGGTTTTGCAGGTGTAAGATCACTGAACCAGTCTCACTCCTCACAGTCAGCCACAGCAGGAAGCCTCCTGCCCTCTCCTCCTCTGTCCCCACCTCATTTCCACTCTCCCATGCTTGGCCCTGCCACTCCCTTCTGCTGGCATCAACACCCATCAAACACTCCAAAGAGCAAACTCAATGCACCAGATTAGTCATCTGCTGATTTATCAAACTGAACCATCTCAGTGCAAGCCTAAAATGGGCACCAGACCAAACACAGGAGGAAGCAGAAAGATCCCACTCCTTAGCAGGGGCAAGCTGTCAGACTATCCATAGAAACTCGTGTATAAAAACTCATATTCGACCTTCCTCTGGATACAGCCTCAATGGTATCTCAATTCCAGCTTTGCCAGACTCGCAGAGTTCATATTTGGCAAATGAGACAACACTTTACCAGTTTTGAGGTTAAAACCGTGAGCTCTTCCTCTAAGCAAGCTCAAATAATGAAGTTCACCCTTGCTTAATAATACATTTAAATCCTCACGATATGTTGAATATTGATTTAACAGTAACAGCTTTCACATGCCTAAAATGGATGATCCGTAAGAAGTTATCAGTCTGGAGTAGATTCATCTAACTTAATCATGAAAGCAGGCAGCCACAGTGAAACCAGTCATCTCCACAGTCACACAACTGCTGAACTGCTTATAAAGACAGATCCTTAACTTTTTACAGCAGTTCTGCACATTGAGACTACAGCCAGCCTACTGACGGCAAAATTAAGTTTTTCAAAAGTATGTCATTCAGGTTCTGTCTTTATTGTCATTTAAGACTGCACCACCACAGATCTGAAATTCCCCTGGAGGGCCCCACCCTCCTTAAGCTGACATTCTCAGCAGTTCTCAAATTCTTACATATTTTTAAGGAAAAGTGTCCAAACTAATTATAACCGATCTACTCAGTTTATATTATTGGCATTAACGAGTACCCATATAAATTAACGAGCTTTGTAAAAGCAATCTGTTTAAAATATAGTATCTTTTTTCACAGAATTCAAAACAAAACTCCTCAAGGCAGTTTTTGTGCACCTTCCCTCTAGTAAGCAGAAACCAGACAGTCTCTTTTCATCTCCACACTTCTTGACAAAAAGTTTAGAAAGACTATTTCTGAGTGACCCCAAATATTTCCACATGTTAAGAGCATCACAGCAAAGATTTTGCTGTCTATGACTGTGAGGACTGCTTGCAGATGCAGAGGAGAGAGTTTTCCACACAAGTAGTAAGATGATAAGTGTTAGCAGTCTGAATGATCTGTTAGTTTTAAAGGTGGTTACAGCAAAATTGTACTATTATTGCAAGAGCTCAGCTTTGCTAACCTAGGATTCAAGACCACAATAGCGACACAGCAGAACTGAATTCAAAGCAGGCTTGATGCCAGACTGCTTATCTGATATCTCTATGCATTATCTACAGCTTCCAGGCAAAGTCAGGAACAAGTATTTTTCTTTCTCCTTTAAACTGAAGAAATTTGACGTATTGCTTTTACAAAACACTGGAAAGAAAATACCTAGGCATAACATCAAGTATGATTATTAACATAGTAAAATAAGAAAGAAATGTCTTAGAAAAAAATTATATAAATGGGAAATGACAGTTTGCACTGCATATTCCAGTTTAGCAGTTTTCCTTATGAAAAAAACTTGGTATTAGGGACTTTGCTACTTTTCTCCTCCCCCTCCCTCTGCCCAATGTTTCCTTTTACCAAACACCAGCGCACTATTACATACACGCTTTTTTGATCAGCGTTCAAGAAAATCGTCCCTGACGCACTGAAGCAACGAGAAGCTTAGCAAAAAATACAGCAGTGTGTTTTACCCTGCGGTTTTGCCATACTAATTTTTTTAAAGGGTATCGTGTGACGGCAGATTTTCTGGTGAGTAACTCTCCGATGCCCTGGGACCGCCGTAACTCCGCTTTCTTTCCTAAAATGGAAGCCGCGCTCCAGGCGAGCTTCCCGCAGCTCTGAAACCCCCTCCCAGCCTCCTTCGAGGACCCCCCTGCACCCAAGGGCCCTACTGGGGTAAGTACCACGTGTTCACCGAAGATAAAACACCAGGCAGGGTTCCCAGTGCGGAGGGCGGGCAGAAAGTTCAGGCATACTTTTCCAGTTAGTTAAATGGAGAAAAAAAAAAAAGGCTGGAGGAAGGGAGCGCCGCTTCCCTGCCCCGGACAGACAGGGGCAGCCGGGGACCTGCCCGGCTCTCTCCCGTCCCTTCTCCTCCTGGGACCGCTCCGATCCCCACCCAGCCCCGACTCCGTGCGGAGCCGCAGCGCTCGGCCCCGGCCCGGGGACGGAGGGCAGGGGAGCCTTCACTCCCTCTCTCCCCAGTCCATCCGCGGCAGGATCGCTCCCCGCCGGGCCCTGCTCACCTCTGACGGGGACCAGCACGCCGAGGAGCACGGGGAAGAGAAGGAGCCTCCAGCGCCGCATGGCTGCCCGCCCCACAAACACACACACAGGCTCTGCCGCGCCCTGACAGCCGCTCCCGGCTCCCGCCGCAGCTGCTCCCGCCGGGCCCGCGAGCGGCACCGCCCCGGGGCTGCGGCACCGCCCGGAACACGCCCCGGGCCCGCCGCGCTGTCGGGCCGGGCGCGGCTGCTCCGCGGGCACCTCGCCCAGCTGCGGCCGTGGGATAGCCCCTTTCGCCGCCGGGCTGAGCCCGGGAGCTGGGTTTCCCCTGTGGGCCGGGCCGAGCCCTCCCGGAACCGGCGGGATGGAGAAGCTGCTTCGGGGTGCTGCTCAGCCCTGATCGCTGCCGTGCAGCCTGCCTGCGAACCAAAGGAGGCTCCGAAAGGGGGCTACAGTCCTAAACTTTGGCCACAGATTTTAATAGCAGAGATGCACGCTTAGGCACCGCTGCTCTGTCTTCACCCAGGCACTCTCTTTCATTGTGTTTTCTCGGGAAAAATCACCGAACATTAAAGGCACCGGGGCACTTAATAATCCTGCTTATTGCAGGCTTGCTTTTTCTCTAGCCGGAGTAAAATAGCTTTGAGTTTTGTATTTACAAGCAATGCTGCCCTGACCCATGGTTGATAGGTGCAAATGTAAACCTGTGTGCGCTGTAGCTGTGGGAAGACGAACGTTAAAGATTCTGATTTCCTATAAATCCCTTTCCAGTGGTCATTTTGTGCCATGTATTGAATGCCTTGTGTTGAGGTCCAGTCTGTGCCCAAGTGTGGTAGTAGCAGCTTGGAGCGCTGCTGCTGCAGGTCGTGGTCAGAACTGTATTGACGCTTGTGCTGAGCTCTGCTTGGGGGCAGGTATGACAAGTACACAACTCCCAAATCCTGGTTTTTCGCTTGCCAAACGTGCTGGTTATTGACTGGATAATAAGAAGTTCAGTGACACACAGGATGTGATTCAGAAGGTAACTGGTGCTCTGCAACTGACTCAGATTCAGTGGTCATAGACCTTCCTCACAGAGATCTATAGCTGTTCTTTAGCATTTGTTGAACCTTCCCAGCTGGAAAAGTGGAATGTCATAGAGTTAGCAAATCACTGTCACCAGTTCATAAATTGATGGTGTTATTTTTTTTCTTTTTTGACAGTGATTAGTCAAGTCATTTTTAGATTTACCCTAAGGTAATAAAGGGTTTAACTGTAGTAATAGACACACTTAAAATTATACTGTGTTTTAAATTAAGGATAAGCTTTTCCGTTAAAATATCTGAGTTTTGCATGAGTAGTATTGAAGTCAACATTACATGGTTAATAGCTTCCTTTTTTCCCAGACTCCTAGCGTAGGAGAATTGAATATTGGGCACGTGAATATTGAATATGTGCACATGCATTGTGTAATCCAGCAGCATGGATCCTGCCATTACATTTATGTACACATACACAGGAAATTATTAACGTTGCTCAAAGGATGTCCTTTAAGAGAATGTTTGTTTATAGCTGTTGTTAAGCATCACCTGAGAAGTTGGTTTCTTGCCAAAAAGAACAAGAATTGGTACTCCTCAGAGCACACTTCTCTAATCACATCATACGAAACCACTACCCCCACCCAAGAATTGCCGAACTAACAGAGAAAACTGTTATCTCACTGACATTACCATGTCAGATCAGGGCCCTGTAGCTTCCTGTTGCCAAAATTAGTCTTCACCAAAGCTGCCATCTTCAGATGAGGTAAAATAAACCTCCTGTTAGAACAGATGTGAGATAACTGTGCTTTGTACTAGAGCTTTTTCCAGTTGGTTCGATCCTTGAGGCAGGGGTACAGTTAGCTGGCCATGGCAACTCTAAGGCTAATAAATTGTCCAGACTTATAAATATCTGTTTTGTTTTTTTTTAAATCTTACTAATCTTTTGATCTGAAGATTTCACTGGCATTTTGTGAAAATGAGTTTCCTTATTTGTGATTACTATCTCTTCTATGGGTGGACTTTGATCAGAAAAAAAAATCCAGGCTTTATTGTTTCACATGTAAGGCCAACTCACCTGTAAAAATCAAAATAATTTAGTAATAAGGCTGTTTATCTGATTGTATGAATGATACTCATAATCTGAGAACCACTTCTTCCAGTAGCACCTATCTTTGGCTTGCCCAGCCTGCAATGGTTGTCCTAGCAGGTCTTTGTCTCTGTCCTGCCCATAGCCTCTACCAGGAAGCCTCTGCAGATAGCTTGGGCATTTGCCTGATCTGAAGATGCCTCAAAAGGAGAAAAGGTTACCTTAAGACTCATTTTTAAAGAACAGGAACTTTAAAAGATGTGCATGGTCTGTGGTTTGGCCTGAAGAAAAAATGTGACATACAGCATCACAATGAAGGCTGGAAGTTGTAAACCCAGGTCAAACTATTCAAACTTGAACAAACTCATTGATGTGCACAGCTGAAGAGCTGTCTGTGAGCTACAAAGGGAAATGTTCCTTCTTCTCAGTTTCATCCAATTCCTCTTCTGAAATAAGGTCCTTGTAGCTCTTTTCCTGCCTCAGCAAAACTTTTTTCCCCTTTTACCTATGAGTTTCCAACCTTACCAGAAACATCATAGCTTTCCAGATATTCAAAGAAGCAAAGACAAATAGATTTTTATTTACTAAAAGCCAGGTCTTCATGGAGCAGTTAAAACATTACCAATCTTACCCTCTAGGACGCTTTTTGGAATTAGAAGGCCACAGCCACTGCCAGTGGATGGTGAAGCAGATGGGCAAAGACAGCACTAGGGGAAAAAAAAGAAAGGAGATGGGTAGTATTGGCAAGCTATTCTTTGATGTACACACATTCTGTTATTGTTACAAAATTGATATGAGTACAATAACCCTGGAAATTATATTGCCTTTTTTACTTTTGGCAATACTCTGCAATGACTGTATTTCAAGTGCAATGTTTGTGAGGCTAAGAACATGCTCACATCTAAGGAGTGTATTTGAGTGTGTTGAGGATGTGGTTTCATCAAAACAGCATGTTTTGAAAGAGTATTTGCCGTAAGTGTATCCTATGGTTTTTACTCAATCAGAAATCCAACTGAAGGGCAGGGTTTCAGCACTGGTTTCTATCATGGCATTTACTGAAGCATGGACTCTCATCTTTATGTTTCTTTTTGCTGTGAGGATATAAAGGTTTATGTTTGTCTGTATTTTTAAATAAAAGTCAAACATGTGACAACTTATTTTCTCCCAGTGTTTTCATCTTGAGCTGTGAGAAGGGGCTAGTTCCTCTGGCAAAGTCTCCCATAAATAAGCTTAAACTTTTAGCAACAATCTGAAGTTTTAGGGCCACAAACAAACTGGTGTGGTATAGTCAGTCAATACAGTCCCTTTTTTTTTAAGGATTGAATATAAAGAATATGTTAAAAACATAATTAACACCATTTGATCTTTGGTCAAAAATTATAATACTACATTAGAGTTGTTTGATTTTCGTTTCATTATGGTTTTGGTTGGGGTTTTTTTTTTGGTTTTTGATTTTTTGGTGGTTTTTGGGGGTTTTTTTAAGAAGGAACAGTAGTATTCCCAGTTCTAAGGGTATATTGAGAATAAGCCAGAGTCCAAAGAGGCTCCAGAATCTCTGCTGGCTCCCCTGTTGGGTGCTATTTTCTGATGCTCTCTGCTTTGCAGGGCAGAAAAGACATGAAGACACTGCAGCCCAAGGGTTTCTTCCCAAGGAAACAAACTAGATTCTTCTACAACCAGCCTGCTTGATAACAATGATTGTTTCAGAAAGGAGTCTTTTCAGGAGATCCTAAGCAACTTCTGCAAAAGCCAATTCCCTAGTCCTTACCACCCTCAGCTTTTCCTGAGGTAAATGTCCTCTCTGTTGGTACCACTTGTTCCCTCCAGTAGTAGCAATTATTGCAGTATACCTACACCACTTACAGCAGTGGCTTGGGTAGTACAGCACCAAAGTCTATGGCAACTGACAGCCTATCTCCTTTAAAGCTCATCCCATTTCTACTACTGTAGAGATTTCTCCCACTATAATTATCAGCTGAGTATTGTTTCCTTTTCAGATTCTCCCCACATAGCTTTGTACTTTGTTTTGTTGATTTTTATCTCTTGGTAACTATCCAAATACCTTTCTACATCCAAAGTCTCTCACTTTTTTTTTTTTTTCCATAGCAGTTCATAAAAAGAAATACAATTTTATAGATAATTTTTCTGCATACTGGTCTACATTTGATGAGACATTAGGTGAAAAATTGTTTATAAAGTACCTGTATTTTAAATGACATGGGTGCCATCCAAACTTAGTTCCATAATAGAAAATGCAGCTTATTGATTAATGAAATAACTTATATCTCTTCTAAGAATTTTTTTAGCATTATTGGATTTTATTAGAAACAGAGGAATATTTTATTTCTTGCATGACCCTTTTCAAACAAATAAAGCCTGAAGCAACAACCCTTAACGTTATTTTCTTTAATTCCTGTTTTATTAGACTATAGTATCTTCAGTGAATTCAGTTGAGTTTTTTTGCTGTCTAGAGAGCCATTTATAACAGTTTTTCTTTATAACATTATGAGCTAGAAATATCTAGTCTAGTATAAATGGTGAAAGCAGTCTGGTTGTAGCAGTATATGGTATAGACCTCTACACAGGCTTATTAATTAGAGAGAAAAGCACTTTTTTTTTTTTTAAGATAAAGCCTTGTAAGGTATGCTATGGTGTAAACTTTTCCAAGAAAAGTAGAGTAGGTCTTCTACAGATAGTAATTCCTCTAGTAATATTTCAATTTTATGCTAAGTGTGTAAACATATCTTTGTAATTTAACTGCTGAGATTCAGGTTTACTACATACCTTTTGAAACCTGTTTCTCATAGCTCTATATTTCACCATGAAACTTTGTTTTTAATTTTAAGTCACCTTTGTTTTAATGTAAATATTTGACTTAATGAAAAGAAAATCTAGGATGCCTTTCCTCTGTTTTTGGCAAAGTGACCTTTTTAGTTATGAAATGTTTGTTCCTTTTGAAAAACCTGTGATGTCCAATTTCTTGTCTGTCTTTTTTATCTAAGAACAAAATAATTTTAAGATAACTTAATGGTAGTTTTGTATGTTATTTTCCCTGATGTGAAATTTTGTTTGACTGCTATTCAGAGAGAAAAGAAAGAGAAAACTGATTGAAGCAGTTCTTAAACAGGTAAGTTCCACATTCTGTTTTTACTGTTCGATTGAGCTGCATCCTTCCCAGTCTAAATAAT